AAAAAAAAAATAAAACATTTTTTTGAGCATCGTTGTATCGAAGATATATAAAGGTTGAATATTGTCCGATTAGTTTTTGAATATATATTATTTTTCTTTGCAATAGAGTCGTTATTGATAATAGTAGAATAATATTCTTTTTTTTTTCTATTATACTCTCCGAATATATATTTTAATCGATTAGAAATTCTATTGATGAGAATTTATTTAAAAAAAAAACTATAAAGAAAGCTTTATTTAGAATTAATAAAAATAAAAGATTGAGGTGTGTTAAATTCACTTGGTTGATCATTTTTTTTATAAACAAAATGAATACGTCCTGCATATTTAGCATGTAATTCTTCAATAGCTAATATAGTAAATTGAGTTATTGATATTTGATTTATTGGAAGATTATTTAATGTACCAATTAATGATTGACCAATACGTCGATTAATATGTTTAATTGCTTGACGATATTCATTATTGATTATTTTACCTTTTAACCAAGTTGAATCAAGTAATGAACTTGAATTAAAAAATCTATCATAGCTTATTAATTTAATAATATTATTATCAATTAATTCAGCTGATGGTAAACGTGATTGACAATTATTTATATGTTTTTCTGTATATGTTCGACCACGCCCACAATCCATTGGCTTTTATTTTTTAGTTATAAGTCAAAATAAATACATACTTTCAATAGTGACGTACTCACAATATGACTTCTATAGTGTCATACTTTTTTTCTTTTTCTTTTTATCTTCTGTGAGAATTTCTAATGGCATATATAAGAAAAAAAATTCTTACTTTTATTTTTTCCTATGTAAAAAACATACCGGAAGAAGAATGCTGTAGGGAACATCATAGTTTTTATTTAGCATAAAGAATGTTTTGTTTAAAATAAATAAATTTCGATTGTTTTAATGAAATATTCGAAAAAAAAAAATGGAAAAATAAATCATTTGTTGTTTTTTACTTGTTTACTTTTAATTGCCAATGTTCTTTTCATTTTCAGAAAAATTTAATAATAGAAAAAAATTACATAAAGAAAATATTTTCAAGTTTATTAAGACAACGATTTATATTTAATTTAATTTTCCGACAAAAAACCTTTTCTATAATCTTCATATGAAAAATCGTAACTATATATGAATTGTTTAAAAAGGTTTTCATAGTGGTTTTATTCAACAACAAGAATAAGTAGTGCTGTATTAATAATATTGTCTATATGTACTTAGTTCATACAATCTTCTCTATTTATAGACATGAGAAGCTTTGATGATGACTAGGATTTTTTATCCTTACTTTTCAGTTTAAAATGAAAATCAAAAAATACAACAAACATAAGAAAAAGAAGGGTGTAGGTGTGGCTGTGGGTGTTAATCTCTCTTTAACCACACCTTACATCCACACATCCGCATCTACACTCCCACCCTCAAGTGGTAAAAACGTTCAAATCGACGGTTAACTATGCATCTGATAATGTCAGTAATCCTTCGGATGCAGTTGTCTAAAATAAAATTGAAACAAATTCAGCAGCAGACTGTTGAAGAGGAAGGTGAAAGCCTTCATTGCTATTCTAATGTATCTCGATTTATGATATCATCTGTCATAGTATAGAGAACTACAACCAATTGTTTTGAATTTGGTAACACTGAAAAATTGGAACGACTTTTCTTATTAGGGTTGATTTAATATGTATATAAACCTGTTATTGGGCCCATTAGACTGTGCACATCATTTAGCACATAAGGATAGATATATTTGACCAAGATAAAATAGTTTTGTTATTCTCATGTCATGACTAAAGGTTGAAAACAATAAAATAATGATTATATGTTGAGAAGTATGTTGGGAGATTATCATTTTCTACATAAAAAGCTACGTTTGAAAAATGTTCATTTGAAAATTTTTCTTTATTTTTTCCAGTAAAAACCAATCCCTAGTCGAATTTCTTTTGGTCTGTGCATGAGATACTTGAGAATCTTGATCAAGAGAGTCATGCGCTATGGACAAATCTTGAGACAAGACTTGAGACCTTTTATCGAGCTCAATCTTTTGAACTTCTTGTCCTATCACTTGATATTCTTGCTCATGTGCTTGAATTCTGATCCAAACGTTCCTATTATGTAGGAACTTTTTTACTTTTTTTTTAAATTTTACGTTCAAAAATAACTCAACTTTTAATAAAAATTCATAGTTGCATTTTCTTGAGTTGAGTGATGAGTTTCTTGTGACTTATGCAAACACTCAAGCGCTTGTTTTGAGCAAGAAAGTCATGCTCTATGGACAAAACTTGAAGTTTGCGCAGGTCAAGAACATGAAAAAAAAAGTTTGACTAGGGAATGTCAAATACATGGATGCAAATATCTGGCTATTTGATTCGAAAAATAACGCATTTTTAATGAGAACAGTTCAATATAAGATTATCTTTAGTTATTTTTCATCTCACCTTGATTTTGTTTAAACGCATGTTAACATAAATTTTGTCTTTAATCTACAACTGAACTTTGCTTTATAGATGTCGAAAATTAACTACTCTTTTTCTGTAACTTTGATATATTCGTTTAAAAATAATTCAATTACTTCTAATCGTCATCTCAAAAGACTCACATTTTCTATGGGTATTCTACTCATGGCAGCCTTCCCACTATCTGTGTGGGTGTGGTGCAGGTTAAGATGAGTAAAACCCTCCACCTTCATCCACCCCTCCATCCATCTCTACACCCACACCCTTACACTACATGATTGATACTCAATTCCTAGTCGAATTTCAATTTGATAAAATAGTTGTCGGTTTTTTTTTGTTTTATTTCGTTGATCCACTTGAACGATTGGACTTTACTTAAAAAGAAGCTCTAAAGTATCAGAACATAAAATGAACTGTCGTATATTAAGAGGAAGACTAGGAAAAAAATAATAAAAATTTCTTTCACATATACTTCATGTTGCAATGAAAAAAAGAACATGCAAGTCATCTTCAAATAGTTATTTTTAACCGATAAACTCTATTTCTATTATTGAAGATGATGAAAGATATTGCGAAATGGTTAAAAACCAAGCGTACGTTGGTATTTTTATTATTTTCACTGCAAAAAAGCTGCATTGGGTAATTAAAGATAAGGGTGAATCTTGGACCGATCAATATTTTTGTGACATCATTTTAATGCAACACGTATTCCTATTTCTCAAACACGAAGAAAACGTAATCGATCCGGATCATGTAATATTCGTTCATGACAAAGCCCCATGTATGCGAGCAAATATGACTCAACATTTGCTTCAAGACAATGATATCAATTTTTTGGGGAAACGACACCTGGCCTGGAAATTCACCTGACCTGAATGTAGCTGAACATATTGGAACAGTAATTAAAAACGAAGTGGAACAAAAAATGTTATCAGAAATTGAACAAAATCGTTATAAAGAAGAAACATTGAAAAAACACCTGTCATATGTTTTGACAAACATGGAATAAAACACTGAGCTATTTGAAACTCTCTTATGTTCTTATCCATCACGTCTTCGTGCAGTAAAAAATGCTAATGAACATCATACTGATTATTCACATTATTCATCAAAACTAAAAAATAAATCTGTTTGATGTTATTAATTATTTTAGATCAGATTTAGTTCGAAATGCCTCAGGAAAAAATTTTTTTCATACTAAAATGACGAAAATTTTTAGAGATTTGTAATGTTTGTTATAAAAAAGTTGTCAGAACCCGCACAATTTAATATCGATATATCCCATTTTTTCCGCGCTTTCATTTGGTATAAAATTTGTTATTAGCACTATTCAAAATCATAGAGCTACTCTCCTGGAACAACACTTTTACCCACCCTGTACATAGATATGCATCATTTATTGACGTTAAGATACTGTTTTTCATTGTTCACATTTTGCAAATTTCCTGTCAACGGATCCGTTTTAATCATCTTCGGTAATCCACATGCAGAGCTATTGGACAGACAAACATATTACTTGCCTTTGGCTTGTCATGTACATTTTTCAAAAATACATTTGGAATCATCTTCGGTAATTATGATCAGAGTCTTGTACTACTAATATTCATTTCATTTATATTCTCTCAATTTATAAATACATAATAAAAATAATAAAAATGATGATGATGATGCTTACTATACTTTGTCGCCTATGACTATCGTTGAACGTTTTCTTTAAGTATTACTATTCTTTACCAACAAGATTATTCTCTAATTTGAAAATCTTTTTATATACATGCTTGATCGTTTGTTTAGTTGCACAAATGAGAAAAAAATATGTTATTCATGAGATAAATAACATCAATATTCCTTTAAAGACAATGTTTATCGGTATAATTTAATCTGACAATTGCATCCTGTCCACATGTTTTCACTTACTTGAAATGTGTATGTTGAAGACATAAGACAAGGTGCATAGGAGAAACAAAAAAAAAATTTCTCTCGAGTGCCTTATATATAATATTGATGCTCGATTAGCTCATGGAAGCCCTTTTTATAAAAATTCACCCCTCTCTTCAATTAGAAGAAGTTCGTGTATCTGTAGCGAGCATTAAAAAATCTCTAGGATGGAATAAATAATATTCACTAAATAATTTTTATTGTCTCGTATTATTATTCGCTGTTGTTGTTTAAACAGTATTGTAGTTTGTGATTAACTTTTTAAATCAATAAATATTTGAAAATATTGCACACTTGCTTTCACTTTATTCAATGAATAAATAGGAATATTCAATTTTATTAGATATGAGCAACAAGCAGCTAATATAAGAACATTGATTGTCTTGATAAGATGAAGTTTTTATTATGACATATCATCATTATGCGTATATTCTTTACATGTAAGACATATTTGTTAAATGAAGCCAAGAAAATCAATACTTGAATGCTATTGCACAAAACAATCGAATATAAATGAGAGATATTTTCCCATATTGCAATCAAAATAAAATCCCTGAGCGTAGATGTGTACATGCGCAGATCAAATCAACAGAAAACAAAAAGAAAAATGTTGAAGCTTTACTAATATTATGAGTCATCATTGACTCAATATGTATTTATTTATTATGATTAAGAAATTGTACTCTTCTTTTTCCCATATAATTCTGGTTTTTTCCCTTAATTTTCTTGTTATCCCACACAGTTGTCATATAATTACAACACTAAAAAAATCGTATATAAATGGATATTATAAAATCAGTTTTTATTCATTGATTACAAGATAAATATAAGTATTATTATATACAAATACATATATCTACTTTGCTCTGTTGAGATTATCTGATCACCTCATTCAACAGTAGGTTTCTTTGTTGCAATAAAAAGTAAGAATTTTTCTGTTTTATTTAGATCATCTGATCATCAAAGTGAACCGTAAGTATTATTTTATTCCAAAGAAATTATTTTCTGTTATTCGATGTGAATGAAGAGAAACAAAGGATTTCTCTTCTCATTCAGAAGAAATATGTATGAGTACGATGGTAAATGACACTGATATATACGTCGAGACATAGTTGTAATCGTAGATGCCTATATTAAGACTACGTCAAATCATCAGGAATATTATTTAGTTAATTGTGATTTTGTCTGAAAATCGTCAAGAAAAAGTCGCGATTTTTTTTATAATAATCGGAAAAGACCGCTAATTTAGGCAATTTAAATAATATAACATAAATACGACATATATGGTGTCCAGAAAATAACAAAACAAAGAAAAGTTTGAACACATATCTCTGTCATATTTTGACCAAATGGGCAGGTATTTTTAGCACTGATAAAGAACTATTTATAGCTCATATTTATAAGAGAAATGTTGTCAAAAATTGTTTTGAAGTGTACAACTAACTTCAACAAAAAACTGTGACCTTTCATGAGCTATGAAAAACTAATATTGCAGTTGTGTCAACAGCTGAAACTTTCCGAGTACACTGAGTAACAAGACATATATCTGTAATATAAGTATGAGACCAAACGGCACTAGTGTGAAGAAGTAATCGAAAAAATGACATGTCGTCTATTCTTGACTAAGGGAATAAATTTTTTTTTTTTCATAACTCGGAAAATATTACAGTTGCTTATTGAAGTTAGTTGTACTACTTCAAACAATTTTTGACAGCGTTTCCCTTATGAATATGAGCTATGCAGAGTTCTTTATTAGTGGTAAAAATATCAGCCCATTTGGTCAAAATACGGCGAAGATATGAATTCAAATTTTTCTTTGTTTTGTTACTTTCTAGACACCCTGTAGTTATAGCATGTAAACTAAAGATGTCGACTTAGCATTAGTATTTAAAAAATGCTAATACTTTTGTATTAGAGTTAAAAAAATATAATTTAATACATTGCCATTAGTGTTAAAGCAGTTACATCTGTTTGACTTGAAATTTTTTACCGTGAACACATCTTGGTTTGGGAGATTTACGTTGAAAGAATGTTTTCAAATGGATCAGCTTTTGATGAGTTGACCGATACTAACAAATTGATAGGAAAACTGACTTCTCGATGTTTTGTCTATATACGTATCTCAAGAGGAGATCGCGTTAGACAGCTGAAATTCTGATCACAAGCAGACTACATCGAAAACTTGCTCTGAAAAAAGCTCAGCTATTTAGCCAGCTCCTGAGAATCAGGGGATCTTCGTAAAAAAATGCGATTTCGATTAAATCAGAAGTTTGTGAAATTGCAATCTAGATAAAAATCGAGTCTGCAGAGTTCCAATCAGTCTGACTTTTAAGCTACATACTTAGTAAGAGGGAATTTATTCATCTCATACATGTACATGATTGATGGTATCAAAGAATAAATAACGTTGCTTACTATATATAGGAGTCAGCAAAATCAACAAAAACTCAATCCTTTATTGTTGGAACACTCGCTTGCCTGTGAAATATATATATATCTACAACATTAGCGTTTGACCACTTTCACAAACAAAGATGAACATAAAAAAACTTTTCCTGTTTGTTATAATTGGCGTTACTGTCGGTGCGTAATAAAAAAAAGGTATATAATTTAAAATTGACTGATTTTCATCTAGCTTCTGGAGTAAAAGTGAGGGTTAAGAACAAATGTTGGTGGCCACTCAAAGTGCATATTGGCAACGGTGACAATGGTCGTTGGATTGGTGCTGGAGAAGACAGTTGGGGAACCAACGGCCGATCAGATCGAACCTGGGCTGAACAACCTGGCATCTGGGGTGATAACACACTCGCTGAAATTAACGACGATAATGGTCGCATTTGGTACGATATCTCTCTTGTCGATGGTTTCACATATCCAATGGCTCTTGTTCCGGTTGGTGGTGGTGGAGGCAACCGTAGAAACTTGTATTGTATCGGCTGGAATATCCTAAACGAGTGTCCGAACGACTTAAAGGTTTGGGTTGATGGTAATGTAAGGGCATGTAAAAATCATTCCGTAAACCCAACCCATTTCAAGTCCAGATGCCCAGACGCCTATTCTTGGTGGGGAGATGATAAATCTTCCATGGCTGATACTTGGAATCCTGACCACATGGAAATCACTTTTTGCCCATGAACTTTGTATGACTACATACAGTAAAAACTCCGTTACGGTACTGTCGCAAATCGACACGATTGCTATCTTTTTTTATCTTCTATTCTCTTTCATCTTCTTTAATCTGTAATTAGTTTCATTTCTTTTCGTTCTTCTTACACATATATATATATATATATATATATATTATATTGTTTTCTTTCATTCCTTACACAATAAACTTCGTGTATAAACATCGGCATATGTATATATATCTACGAAAGAAAAAGAAAAGAGAACAAGTATCTAAAAATTGGCGACCCTATAAAACAACATCCAAGAAAATCAACAACAATACAAAAAAAATGAAAATTTATTTCATATTCAATTAAATTATTTTACAAGTTACATTAGTCAAAGCCTCTATTATTTATTTTATTCAGCACATTTCTCTGAATTCCATTTCTATGAATTTATTAAAAAATAAACTTAAATTCCATTATCTATTTTATTTCATATATAAATAAAATTCAACGTTTATCGATTCATCAAAATTTAAATTTAAATTAAATTAAATTATTTGTTTTATAAAATAAATAAAAGAAACTTATTTATGGAATAAAAATGAAAATGAAATTCAAAATT